GGACTTGTAACAGTGCTTCCTCACATTGTGCTGAGCCCAAGACTCTTAATAGGTTGCTAGTGGTAAAGGTAATTTTTTTTTGTCTTTTTATTCTTGTAAATATATAGTGACTTCATGGTATTGTTTAGGTTATTTTATTTTTTTTTATTGTCCATGATTTTTGATTATTATTTTACTTTTGTTAATTTTATATTTTCTGTATATTTGGTATGAATGTGTTCATATATCACTGTAATTATTGTCCACGTGACAGCTTGTTATATTTCTAAGTAAATAAATAAAAATAGTTTAGGTATTATCGTTTGTGATCAGATCAGTGTTGTTTTTTAAAATATTCATTGAACGTCTTGCAATAAATATCGAAAAAGAAAGAGATATACCACTTTACTATTGAATGTTCTTACAAATTTTGAATCCTGCACTTAAATACTACCTAACTAAATTTTTCTTCAAAGTCAATAATAAGATATGTTGTTTTCCTGTATATATATATTTTTTCTTCTCACCTAGCAATTGGTTTCGTTCTTTAATCGTACCTTCATCATTCTAACTTATGATGGCCCTCCTTTTGCTTGTCAGGAGTGGACTAAATTTTTTTAATTAAAAATCTTGATGATTGAAGTAGTTCAGGATTAATATGTAAACATTATTTTAATTATTTAATGCAGATGGAATACCAAAATAAAAAAAATAAATCTGGTAAGAATGTGTATGACTGAAAAATTCAAAAAAGTAACAATAGGTATTTTTTTAAAGGTAATTTTTAGGTTCTTTAAAGCTTAAAACAAGATGATTCCTTTTTACGTGTTTTATTTAGTTTATGTTTAGTAAATGCCTTTAGAGAGATGATTCATACCGAAAAAGGTATAATTATAGAAGGGATTTCGTTTAAATATGTAGCGAAGGTCTACGATAAATAGAAAAAAAACAAATTGAGTAAATTGAGAGTAGGTTGAAGATGAGAAACACTTTTTCTGTTACAAAACATTTCTTGCCTCCTGTTCCATTACTTAAAAAATTGAAATTATAAAACTGCTTTTTATGTTTATGTTTAGATGAGGAACATAGCCGCTCAAATTAAAAGATAAACAGCGTCTTGAAGTTTTTGAAAATAAAATGTTGCACGAAATTTTTGAACCGAAGAAGGACGAGCCTACTAGAAGATTTAGACGGCTACACAACGCCGATTCGCGTGAACTGTACCTGTTAAATAAAATTGAGATAAGAGTCTTGCAAGGCTTAAAATAGGTGATAACGAACGATTCCTGAAAGTTTAATGAGCGCTGTTCCGATTAGTTAGCATTCGAGGGGTAGACTAAAGCAAAGATTTTGTCAATGTTGATCTTTAGGATTTTTGGTTTGGATGTGGTTCGGTGGATAGAAGTGTACAGCGATTCTTGGTAGCGTCATCGAACTTTAGGTTACTTACTGTTAGTTTAATAATTCTCATTGTGTTTTTATGGAGCTTATTAAACTAGATGAAGAGAAAGAATGAAGGGTTGAGATGAATGAGAGCATAAAGCCTCGTTTCCACGATGAAAACATTAACGAATATCTTTAAAATCTGTTTTTATAGATTATTTCTAAAATAATTTTTTTTCTCGATAATTTTAACCTTTATGTCAAATTAATCAGTTAATATTTGGCGTGCTATTTAATAAAAATGATTTTGTTTTTCTTTTTCAGGTACAGTAATCAATCAAGTTCCTTCTACTCCGAATTACTGAGTGAGTCTTTTATTAATTTTTAATATTGTTTATTTTATTTTAGTGATTATAGGCAGAATGTCTACAGTTTAGAACAAAAACGAGAAATGTACAGGAATTTAGTTTAAATCTTCACAATATCAGAAAAGGTTCTGATCGTTTATTACATGAAAAAAAAAGCTAAAACTGGGACGGTGCACGCATCACACAACTTTCACTTACCGACCTTAGGGTAATAAATATTTTCATGTATAGGAAAGTCAAATTGAAAACGACGGTATAACTTCATTTAAAACAATTACCATGTTTTTCCCGCCCTTCGAATCTGTTAAATATATTCCTTTGCCTCGCTTTTCGTTTCCTTTTTTGACTGTGTATAGTATCAAACAATACTGATGATGAATCTCAAGTGGGAAAATGAATATTTCGGAAAAATTTTGAGTTTTATCGGAAACATTTTTCACGAAACTGGTCAAAAAAATAACTTCAGGTTAATACATTTTTAAAAAAATATTCATAAGTTATCTATAACAGTTAAATTAACACTATGAAAGCCCTGTTATAGAGAGTTATCGGATATCTGTCTGTAAACGGAGAGGATTGGTAAAGGTCGGGCGATCTCGGTTGTTTCCGTATTAGCCCTGGAGCCAGGGCCCAAAAATCGACCTCATCGCAGGCGAAGGTTTGATTGTAAATTACGAAAGTGTATGTTATTCTGAGTAAAAAGAACATTGTCTGCCTTTCCAGTGCCGTTGTTTTAATAAATGGTGACTGATTTTAAGAATATTAGGCCAGTAATTTGAGGATCGAAACAGAAAATCCATTGAGAAAAATGTGTAAGTTTAATTTTTTTTAACTTGTGTCTATGAGTTTAGACATGTAAAAAAAAAATTGCTGACGCGGTCCACCAAGAGAAAGATTTTTACAGCCGAAAAATGTTTTTGTTTTTTCACCTATAAATCCTAAAGGAGGCATCAAAGCGAAAAATGTACCCTTAAATAAATTAAAGGACCTTAACTCAGCGGACGCAAAATTGATGCTCAACAAATTTGATTCTATGGATTTTTCCTCTTAGAGAATTCATTTCCAAGTTACAGAGCCATTTTTAGTAATTTTTGTTAGTTTTTGACAAATTTGTTAAAAATCAGAGTTGGTTGACCGTGGTTTTATACCTTACTACGTAATTAAATTATAAAGTTTATGTCGTGTCGTTTGGCGCACAATGCAACGTTCTTTAATTTATTAAAGAGTATATTTTTCGCTTTGATGCATATTTTAGGAGATATAGAGGGAAACACAAAAAAATATCGAAAAAATCTTACTTTTTTGGCTATGAACAGTTTTCCCTTGGTGGCGTTAGCAGTTTTGTTTTTTACATAACCAAACCCATATATTCAAATTAAAAAAATAAAAACATTTCTCACCTTTTTCACAATAGATTTACCGTTTCGATCCTCAAACTACTGGCCTTTTTTAACTTCTTTTTTTAACTTATTCTTTAAATCAGCTGCCTTTTTTAAATCAGCGGCTCTGGAACGGCAGACAAGGTTTTTTTTACTCAGGATAACATACACTTTCGAAATTTACAATCAAACCTTCGCCTGCGATGAGGTCGATTTTTGGACTCTGGCTCAAGGGACTTCTAACCCTTATTTCTCCTTTAGTTACCACTAAATTTTCTTCGTTCTCTATATTTAGCCATTTCTTATATCAGTTTCCAATCTAAAATAGTGAAATAAAATGAAATAAAATTATTTCAAAACATATTTTGAGTAAATATAATAAGGTATTATTATAACTTTATTATATACATATATTATGGGACATTATAAATAAAGATGATTGAAAAAAAAAAAGTTAATAAAAATATATAACAATTTTTGAAGTTGGTATTTCCTATGTACAAAGACACATTAAATAAATATTTAATAAGCCTTTAAATAAATGAATAGATACATTTTATAAATACTATAGACTAATTTATAAAGATAGACATTTATGCATTTTAAGATATTCTATATAAATAGACATGTCACTGAACCAAAAAAGAGAATGAATACAGTTATACAATGAGGTTAATAAAAATAATAATACAAAACCCTAACATATAAATATAATAATAAAAGATATTTAAATAACATTTATCAAAAGATGATTAAAAAGTTTCTCTCTAAATGACCTTCACTCTATAAGTATGGTTTAGGTTTGGTTTTGTGTGACACATTTAAAGGAGTATATTATATATGAAACTCATTAGCTGTTTTTTTTTCTATTTTTAGATTTATTTAATTTTTCCTATGTATTACTTTTTTGATGATTTTATCTTCTGAAATCGGCCATGTCTATTCTTGCACTATTTTTTTAACTTATTTAATTGCACCTTTCGTAATTGATATTTATATTTACAATTTTTATTTAATTTACATGAAAAATGTACAAATTTCGATTTTCTGTTCCATAATTTTTATTTACACTTGCTTCAAATCACGTACATTTAAACGCTTCGGCAATTAGCTACCTTCAACAATCTCTCCTTATATATTTTTAAACCATATTTATAAATCGCCAAATTTTATTTTGTTTTTGTCATTTTTATTTGTTGAAAACTCTTGCCGCTTTTTAAAACACGAGTAATAATAATCAAGTAATATCAGCATTAATAATCTTATCAAATATGAAAACAAAGAGACATATCAATAATTTACACTTAATATAATGAACTTATTACTAATTTATTTATTAATTATTGCCTAAATTGTATTTTTATTATGTAATATTTGTTTAGAAATATTATTGACTAAACAATTAAATGAAAAGAAGATTCGAAACGTTGAAAAATTTGGAGTATAGTGAAAACGACTTTAAATTATAAAAAATACATTACATAAAATAGAAAAAAATAAAAAGTATTTTTTTTAATAGAACAAAGTAATTATTCTTGTAGTTTAAACATCACATTATAAGAATATTAAATTTTATTTTTAAGGCGATTAATTTAATATTTTTATTACTAATGTGAAAGAATTATGGATTTTAGGGAAGGGAGGGGAATTCATTATCGATATTAATAATTGTTTTAATTAATGCAAATAAAACTATATGTTTATGGTATTTTTTTTTTTTTACTGTTAAACTGATCGCTGATTTTTTTATTTTACATTGAACTTATACAATAACAAGGACGAACTTCATTTCTTCTGTAAATTAATATTTCCTTTCAACAATAATATGGTCAGTGCAATATATTCACTATGTGGTTGTTATCATTTTGATATAGATTCTTTCAAATTTCCTTTATAAAATCTTCATTGTTTCTGAAAAAAAGTAAAATGCACGGTTTATTACTATTTTAATTACTTCTAGAATGTAATTGATCAATGATGGAATTATAAAATTATCATAATTACGGAATATGTAGACAAGTGAATTAGAAATGATCAGAACGACCCTTAAGATACCGAACATTAGGTACCAGGTAAAAATGAATCCTACAATATTCATCACAATACTGTGTACCATTTTTATTCTGAAAAAAAAAATCAATAATTATATAACAGTTTCTTATTTCTATTGCATGTTTTAGTTCTTAAAAAATTATTTCTCCAATGAAATCTCTCATAATTGCTTTATCTTTGATGTTTATAATTACAATTATATACAATTGGAATTATACCTTTCATATCGCTCCTTATTTTTTTTAATATTCTCCTCAGACATATCTTCCTTTATATAGTATTTGAAAAAGGCTACAACTTGTTTCATCAAATAATTTATCTTCTCTTCGCCTGAATATTTTATTGTGAAACCGAAGTCTTTTATATCTTCTTCCTTCAGATATTTCGTCAACTCTTTGAAACGTTTGTTGGGAAATTTAACCTTATTGTCAATAATACCATTCCCTACTCTATATGCGTTAATAATAATTTTGTTTATCGCTGTAAACCTAAAAATAACGTTATTTTAGTGTTTTTATTCATTATAATTAGCTTATGTGTATACACATGGATTCTTTTATTCCATGTTGATATCTATATTTAGTATTATCTTTTTTAATTAGAATTATCGTCAGTTATACCACAGGCGGATCTACGGAAAGAGGGGGAGACTTTAGGGCTGATGCGCCATCCTCAAAATGGTAAAATTTAACGATGCCTAATTAAAAAAAAGTATCTATAAAAGTATTATCGTTTGTGCAATGACATTTAATAGGACTTCAAGAATCGCTTAAACACCATTTCATATAGGTAGTTGTTTCTTTATTTTTCTTCCTAAGTAATTATAGTTTCGTATATCAAAAAAGCTTTCGGACTGAAGTCTCTCCCTCCCTCCCCCCCCAAAAAAAAAAAAATTAAATCCTGGATCCGCTATTGTAGATGATTTTTCGTCGGATCATTAACATCTTTCTAAAGTTTTGTGAATGGCTTCATATCTGCTTTCCACTTCGAATCTTAAAATAATTTGATCATCAATTCGAGAAAAAAAGGTGTCCTACAAAAATGTTGGACCGTGTGACCTCCATTCCCAACATGTGTTATATAAATGACTAGGTTATATAGGCTAAACGGCTCAATATTTTTCTCGAATTGATGATCAAATTATCTTAAGATTTAATTCGAAGGCAAATGAGCATTCATGAGTAGCTCTAACTACTCATGAATGCTCGTTTGCAAGTGTTTTTTCTCTTTAAATTAATTAATTGAATTATAAATTTTTCTACCCTCCTTAGTAAAATTAAATTTCTGGTTTATATCCATCTTGTTCATCTTTCTGCGCATTACACTGTATATGAGTGCAGATAAGATGAATTTAATTTTTTTTTCTGACCGTCAGATTTATATAAAATCCCAAGAGCTTTCCGAAAACGATAGTTTTAATTTTTATCTTTAAATTAAAATATTACGATAACGTAGGGTTCGATAGTCGATAATATCATAGTAGATGTCATAGATGGTAAAATATTGAATACCAGAAAAAAATATCGACAATTCTATATTATTGACTATCAATGGCCTTTGAATGAATTATACTTTTTTTGGCATGGAGCGGATTCATGTCTTACACTATTAACTGACCAAACATTTAATAAAAATCAAACCTGTACAATAATGGACTAATTGAAATTGTGTTTCAGATTAGAGAAGTAATAGCAAGAATCTATTAGATTCTTTTTGGTCTGAATGGTTTCAAAAATAAAACCCTAAATCATGGACCTTCAGTCGCGAATCACCCTCTATATATTTCATTCATAACCATAATTAATTTTTATTTTGTTTTTAACATCTTTAGTTTGAATTTTGCAAACCTACACCACAAACTGAACTGTTGAGGTTCAGCTTTTACTAATATCTTCAAGGTTTATCGAAACACAGTTAATTACTTACTTGGGTTTTTTCCCGCCCAAGAATAGTAGTAAATCCAATATCGCTCCTGGTACCAGTTGAAGGAAAAAGAATGCAATGAAGTGTAAGAAAGGGTCCGTAACGTGATAGCAGGAAGGCGGCCATAAGATGTTCTTCGATGGGTAATTTTTTATGAAACGCGGAATCATGCTTTCCATTTCTTCGTACGTTATTATTTCTTCACTGGCAGTAGTGCAGGTGTATACATCTGTTCTTGTTTGAGGTCCTCTAAGAGTGTAAATAATATATTAGAATACACACACACAAAAAAACAAAAACAAAAAAATACATACAATTGTAATCTAAGCGAAATGGGCTGGGGATTGCTATCATTAGAAGTACACAAACAGAAAAAAACATTTTTTTTGTGTTACCTTTTTGACCTAAATTTTAGCCGTTCTTCAAGGCTTAGCAAAAAATAGATTACAAATAAATAATGAGAAAATAATTAGATGAGTGTTTGTAAATATATTTAGAATAGTGCATGTGTTGGGAACGTTTTCATCGTTAGAGGTCGGAGTAAGGTTAGGCAATGCTAATGTAGGCCGAGTTAATTGTTTATATTTTACCGTTGTTATTTTTATTTATCACTAAATACACACACCCGCATACATACATTCAATTTAATTCTATTAATTTTTGTTACTTAAATAATTAAATATTAATGAATTCTAGCACTAGATTAATAAATATCGTGAACAAACATTTGGAGGCCGCAACTACGTCTCAGAGGTCACATGCGGCCTCCGATGCCGCGGTTTCTCACCTATAACTAGTGTACGTAAACATAAACAAAACATTATTCGTTAATGTTACTTTCTCACAGTTTATTCTGGTGTGTCTGGTCTCTGTTTAGCTGCGATGAAGGCCTGAATCTGAGGGCGAAGCGACAGTAGAACGAAAATAAATATATGTATGTAAATATATTTTTTGTGCGCTTATATATTTTTGTGTTTTTTTCGATTAATTCTTTTCAGTTTACAATAAGAAAATTTAATAATAACTTAACGCTTTTTAGTTAGGTAGGAGAAGTAGTTGCGATTAATTTTTAAACTAATAAAATTAACTTTGGTTGGTACTGAATAAAGATTTGACATTTATTTGACGTTTATTTTCAAAGTGAATCCTAATTTAATCATTGAATTTTTTTTTTAGAAAATTCGAAAAGCTAAATTTTTTATTTCAATTGTAATAAAAAAAAATCTTTTAAAACATAAATTAAGTAATTCTGCATTTATAGAACACATTTTCGAAAACTTTTGACTATTTTATTAGTAATTGAAAAAAAAAATCGAATCGTTAATTTTGGAATGAAATAAACATCAAAATCTCTTTTTTTAACAAAAATAATATTGATTGGGGTTCGTTCAATTTGGAGAGAAAAATAGTGTATGATTTGTGACGGAAAAAAACATTAAAATTTAACTTCTTCTTTACAGTAATGAATTTGAAATAAAACGGTAAAAAAGAACTTTTGATTTTTTTTTTTTTTTGTTCTATACGAGAAATTTGATTTTGTAATTTCGTGCTTTGCAAAAAGGAAATTTTGGAAATGAACTTATTTTCACACCACTTTTATTAATATTTAATGATTATCACTGTTTCAGTGATTATCCTTACTAACCTGGGAAGAAGCCATTGTCTAAAATTATCATAGTATTAGAATAATCTCTTGAGAATTTTCTCTTTAGTTATTTGAATAACAGTCTGAGTTTTTTTTTTTTTTTTCCAATCCCATAATGTCCATTTTTTTTGTGAAAAGTAAAACCAAATCTACTTCCGGCAAAACCTTGGTGTATATTTTTAAATATTTTCTAGCTATTTTAGAGTGAATGAGTCCTCTAATGTGCTTGATAAATTCCAATTTTGCTAGCTCTACCTATAATAGTGGATAGGATCTCATTCCTTCCCCTCAAATTAATGTCTAATAAATCGACATCATCATGTGGGATTTTAGGCAATATTGATTGGTATCCTTACGTCAGATGGAGTTTCCATGGTGCAATGAGGAAGGCCTTTATTGCCGTATCGACCGGAATCAGATCTTGGTAGTCATCTTTGGTCGCTTTGAAGACTCGGAGTATACCCAACCCCATAAGATAGCTCATCGAGAAGCAAGCGTTTGTTGCATCGTTCCAGGATGGAATTGGGTCATTATCAGTTGCGCTCACTGGAAAAAAAAAAGAAAAAAATTATCTTATTAGAAAATAGCTATAAATCAATATTCGGTGTTAGATTGAATAGACAAACATTTTCGAAGATCTGGTAATATTTACGATATGTAATAATTGTAATATAGTCTATTCCAGGGGTCTTTAAACTTTTTGTACCGCAGGCCATATTGAGACCTCTACCAATCCCCCCCGTGAGCCATGGTTTGTCTTAAAAAACTAGTAGTAAATACAAAAAAAAAAAAAAAAAGATACTACTAAATTTCAAATTTTTACTTTCACTTACGTATATATGTAATATATAGTAAGGGTAAGTATTGCTATCGAGAAAATTTTTGAATCTGAATTTTCAACGGAAATGCACATTTTGAGGTACCCTAAGTCGAAATGAGCAAGTCCCGAAAAATGGTCTGTTAGCAGTCTAGAAACGAAAAGTCGTACGAAACTGATATTACGTATTTAAGATAGGTATATGCCTTAGATGTGACAGCGTTTTTTATATTCAATACATATTGTTGACTGGTTAATATTCATTTTTAATGTTATTATTTGTCATATAAATGTGCTTATGTTTAATAGTAAGTCATCTGAAAGGATATTTTTTTTTCAGGTGAAAATTCAAAATATATTGTAAAAACAGATTTTATCCCGGAAGAGGCGAAAATTTGGATACATTTAAAATATACTTTTTTAATTGTTGAGACTAAGAAAACCTTTTTTCTACAGATATTTAATGAAGTATCTTTTATAAGAAATAAGTACCTAAATGTATACCTTTATTCACCGTTCTATATTTCAAGACTGCAATCATCACCTCCGGAAGCAACTTACTCACTGTCTACATAGATAACTTTTTCAACTAAAAATATCACTAAAATGGCATTATTCAAAAATGTTGAAATTGCAGTTAGTCATTCTGTGGTTTATAAAAGCAAATAAAGTTGTGTGGTTTATAAAAGCAGATGGAGTGACTAAATTTTTATTGCCTACCTTCGATATATTAAATAGACATTTAGTAATTATAATGGTCTTAATGACTTGTTATCTGTAAGCTTTAAGGTTTATCTCCGTTTAAAATGCACTTCAACAATTTTTATAATAGCCCACCATTGTGATAAAATAATTTCTATTCAAAGTAGATCGGTAAGTGAAAGTTGTGTGTTGTGTACCAGATTTTTTAAATTGTTTTTAAATGTTCCCAAATAATTAAAGAAACTTTCGCGGGCCAGATTGGAGATGTTTAATGCTGATGCGGCCCTCGGACCGTAGTTTGAAGAACCCTGGTCGAGGCCATAAGTAGGGTACCTTTTTATTAGTGGATGTAGTAAGATTAGGCATTGAAAATGGAGGCCACAATATTTTTTTAGATTTTACTGTTGTTATTTTAATTTTTTTTAGTAAATATACACCCTCTCCTACATATACCTTAAATACATATATTTAACTTAGTTCTATTAATTTTAAACTTTCGTAACCTAAATGATTAAATTATAATTATTTCTAATGCAGGATTAATTAATATCGCTGAAAATCATTGGAGGCCGCAGATATCGTACGAAGGTCACATGCGGCCTCTTATTCTTACTCTTAAACTGACCCTACTTTGACTCTCATTTAAAGGGCTATGGTTCAGAAGCAGGGTAAGGGTAATAAGCATCCCTCTCACTACAAGTAGTTTTTGGTAGAGGCTCGGTGTTACAAGGCAACAGGTACAGACCATTTCAAAAACTATTATTATTAACTCTTTAGGAATCCTTCATCTCCGCATATATTTGTCTTGGCTTTCATTTGTTTGATTTTGTGAACAGTTGTTTCTATATTTATTATGTATTCCAATGGTCCTACCTAGCTCTCTTTTAATCTTGTTCAATATTATCGGTTGATTGATGAGTGGTTTAGCAACTCAACTTAGTTGAGCAGCCATGCAATATTATTATTCAAGTTCTCTGCTGTTTCGTCAAAATACCAGATAAAGTTGAAAATAAATAAGATACAGGTGCGTAAGATCGGTGGCGAAACGGACGTAAAGTGCCATAAACCACGTTTATACCACTTTTGGGAATTGGGCTCCTTTTACAGCCCGAGGTAGCGGCTTAACGGTTGGTCGTAAAAAAATTTACAGACGTAAAATGCAAACAATTTTGGTTATTTCAATTTCATACTTTGTGGAATTGTATATAAAAAAATACTTAAATAAAAGTTTAGTCTCGAGATTTTGACTAAGAAGCCAAGTTTCGGAGATAATTTCTGTCATCATAGCTCATATCCGTCTTCAAAAAAACAATAATTGCTATATAGGCCATTCTCTGAAAATTTAACCCAAAGTTAAAATATTTTGATGTTGAAATTTTCAGAAGTTAAAGTAGAGCTGAAAGTTGTTTTTTTTTTTTTTTTTTGCCATTAATATGTAAAAGCTCTGAATGAAAAGACTGTTTTGGGAGAAACGTGATTAAAACCAGCATCATTAGTGAAACCAAGTACATATTCCAAAATCCCAAATTACGAAAGTAGAAATTTCACAGTTAATAGACAATGAAGTACTTACATTTTAATAAAGGTTATTTATTCTTGTGATATATGAACGAATAATTAACAAACTCAGGTGTTGTGTGAAAGTTTAAATGTATAAAAAAAGCATTCAGTCAATTCTTTGGTCATCAAGAAATAGTTGATAAGGCTAAATGAACGTCCATATAACTAACAGTACCTAATTCCATCTGAAATAATCAACATAGAAATAAAATTTATGCTAGGACTTTAGATCCAGAGAAAAATCCATGTATTAAAATTTACGACTCCAACAATACTTTCCTGTCCTAGGGAACAAACTGGGTTAATAGTTACTTACTGTTGATTGATGGAGGGGAAATCTCTTTAACTTTTATGAATCGTAATAATTATTTATATATTTTTTTTTATCTTGTTTATTGAAAATATTACAATCTGTCTGGGAAATTTATAATAGTGTTCAGAGATCACATTCACACTCTATGTACAATGAAAAAAATAAATTATACAGGAAAATAATATATATATACAATAAATAAGTGTAAAATAACCTAAAAATGAATGAAAAAGAATACATACATACCTATATACACTTTTTACAAACAGGCGTGAGAACTCCGAGCCAGACTTGTCCCTCCAACTGTGGAGAGAAAAGCATGACTCCAGGAGTTCCCTGCACTTCTTTCTCAACCGCCTCACTGGGGTTAAACCCCCTGGAGATCGAGCGAGAGTGCTAATAATTATTAAAGGTCAGAATGTATCACTTCGGATTGCTTGTTTACAAGTTAAAGTTGAAAAATATAATAAACAAAATAATTCTGGTTGAAAAACGATTATATAATACTGGTTACCACTCACCCACTCCCGGCCTCATGATGATAACTGGAAAGAACTGGCGGTATTCGTTAACCATTTGCTCACCTATTGACTTTGACCAGGTGTAAGGGTTGGGATGTCCGCAGAGTAATCTGCAATACATATACATACATAGAATATTACAAAGCATAAATTAGTTGAGTATATCGCATTTAAATTACATCATACTTTTCTCTGAGGGGATTTAATGTGTTGGGTTCAGTTTTCAAAACTTTCATCATTACTTTCCAGTCTTGGCAGCACGGATGAACTTCTTCGGTAACATCATCACAAGGCTTATTGAAGTTGCAATAGGCAGTAGATACATGAACAAATACCTACAATAATTGGATGTATCTCAAGTTAATCGATAACTCGATTAAAAAATTCGGTATTGGATTTGAATTTAATACCTTGAGGTTTTTAATAGTTTTACCCAGTTCCAACATTCCTAAGGTTCCCCTTGCATTTTGTATTAGTGCCTCCGACATACTGTCCGTAAACTGTATTAAAGCTGCTACGTGGTATATTATCGTCACATTTTCTTGTAACATCTGCAAATTAAAAAAATGCATTTAGCGGAATCCACTACATATAATATTTTAAGCATGAAAAATAGTCAGGATATATTGTCAATAATAGTTTTTAGGAAGTATGCCAACGTTCCCACCCGAACATGAGGATCATCATCAGGGCTAAAAATTAAAAAATACAAAATTGCATTTGAAAAATGATACATTTTAAAGTAAGTAAATAAGTTACATGAAAATAAATAAATAGTTATAATTTCTTTTTTTTTTTTTTAATATTCTTTATTGAGATATATTACAATCTGTCACACCGAAGGACTATTTACTATTGATATAAGAGTAAGTCATCGATACTATTTTTAATAAATAAAAAAGCAAAATAATAATACCAAAAGTAAATGTATATAAACTAAAAGAAACTAAACAAAAATAAATTATTCAAATCAAGATAACTACTTCAATACTCACATGCTTTTATAAAATATTTACTTAATTCATTCACTCAAGATCTCCGAGCCAAGCCTTTCTCCCCACCCGTGAGGGAAAGGCAGGACTCCAGGAGATCCCAGTGCCCCTCACTTAGCCACATTTCTGGTATTAAGGACCAAGTTATAATTATTAAATTATATTTATCACTTTTGTGTTGTAATTTTGAATTATTCAATTGTTAGCTCTGACGGTGACCTACTTGCTTGAGTCGAAACGCCGGTATAATATTTTAATACTTTGAACTCATTAAGTTCGCAAGATTTTTTTTTCTTTATTTTTTTCGTTATTTTTATGACGATTGATTGTAGCTATTCAAATAAGGAGTTAGCTCTTGGTCTCAATAACAAGGTTGATATTCATATATACATTATCAATCTATGAATATCAACCTTGTTCTTGAGACCATAATATTTAGAATGTATGTTCATGTATGGAACCCAAATCATTTTGGGTTTGTGGTGTTGTGTTTTTGGTTATTTTACATGGGGTAACTGCCAACATGCGACTAATCAGTTTTTATTAATCGAAGGTTTTAAAATATTAATTGAAGGGTCAAATAAATGTATGTGATAAGTAAGAGTTTTTGAGTTCTGAGAAAACTACATTAAGATCACTTTTATGCACTATATACGTATTGTTAATTTAAAATCTTACTAACTCAGTCATGAACCAAACATTGAATTAATATGAATGAAAAAAGAACTTCTACAAATATTTTATCCACTCCGCTTTTCGACTAGTATAATCATCTCTAAACTTTACTGCGTATTCAAACATGGATTAAGAAATGATCATGATTAAAATAAAATAAAAAGAATTATAAAATTGTCTACCTTTTTGTGTTCTTCTGAGATATTCAGATCTTCTTCGTTTATATTACCTGGAATCAGGAACATTTTTTTTAGCGCTTCTGGTCTTTCTGTCCTCAGTTTTTCAAATAACTGCAAAATTTTAAAATACACGTTGAGATACTATGCGTAAAATTAATGTTACAAAATAGTAATGAAGTTAAACAATTAAAATCGACATTTTATTTTAGAAAATATCATATCTGCTGATACGTAGATAATTGTTATTAATTACTCCTAGGAATATCAGTTTAGATTCTCGAATTAATAGAAACGATTACTATTTTCAGTCATAAACTTCATGTTTACATTGCAATAATTTTATCATTATTAGTTTGGGCAAATAAAATGTAAAAATAGTTTTACTTTCGATCATTTTATTGCAAATTCACTAAATTTAATTTTTATAGACTTTCAAGTAAGTTTTTATAAATTTCGGGTGTGGAGTAGCTCAGTGATAGGGTGATTAACTTCCAATGCTCAAGGTCATATGTTCTAATCCCGGCTTATACCAGAAAAAAATATTTATTCCATTTTTATTGGTGACCTATGGGTGACATTCCTGGGGCACTCCAACCCTTTATAAAGTGGGAACGTTAAATAATATTTAATTAAGAGAAAAAACCTGGTGGTTGAGCATGATCTCGGTCAAATAAACTACATGCAAAACTTAGAAACAGTGCTTCCCCTAAATAGTACTGAACCCAAGACCCTTCATGGGTTGTAGTGGTACAGGTTTATTTTTAATTTTTATAAATGTTGATCTTATTTTTCGATGCAATAACTCTGTAATTTCGTACATCTAAATAACACAACCTTTGATATGGCAAAAAAATGTTCACATGTGGAAAATGTTTTTATTTCACAATGAGAAAATTCATCAATGTTCTTTGTGATTTAATTTTATTAAATGACTTTTGCAACAAACGATACAGTATAACAGCATTAAATAGATTATAAAATTGATTTATAAAGATCCGATTAAAATAAATAAAATTCCTTACCGGGAGTTGAGTTATTTGAGACCACCTTTCTTCTATGGGGACACCTCTCTTCGGCCTTATTAGCAGATAGATCTTGCTCACGTCTGGACAGCTCCTCAGGATCTTTTCGATCAAGACTTTTCCCATGAGTCCTGTCCCTCCGGTCACAAAGACGGATTGGCCGGCGAAGTATTCCGGAATAGACATTATGTTTTTTTTATCCTTAAACAGAAAACATTAATGTCTTAGGAATGAAAATGGCATTGGCCTAATGGCGAGAAGTGAATGTACCTATTTGTCACTTAAATGATAATGATACATGTTTTCAATAACAACTTATCACATATCATATATTCACTGAAATTAAATTATTATTAATACATTTGTTTTTATATACCAACTTTTCAGCCCTTAGGCCATTTTAAAGGGAAGGAAACCTTTAAGAAATGAAATAATCATCACATCCTACTTATATTTGTTCATTAATTATTTTCGTTTTATACTTTATATTACATACCTATTTTAAACTATTAAAATCAATATGGACTGCATTGCCCTTTTCAAAATTATTTAATTAGTCAAACGCTAAAATTTTCTATATAAAGCGGTTTATTTTAAACCTCATTACATTTATCAAGAACCCCGACATTAAAATTTACATTATTAAAACTATATGTAGTGTTAAACTAGTTCATAAATATTATATTAAAATAAATACAATCACAGCCCTATTGTTATTCACCCTTTTAAAAAACCATAATTTATATTTTTTACATTGTTTTATAATTCAATTCACGATGTTTATATTTAAAATATAACTAAACAATATACCTAAAGAAGTACCAAACTCATTTTTTTTTTCATTTATAAATTAATTTAGCTTATTGTTTTCACATAATTCGGACCTATTTGCTCTGAATCCACTTTGAAATTAACAGTATAATTCATGTTGTTCGTAATATACAAAACTTCCAAAATTATTATATTTTTATTATTATAACACATTAAATGAAAAAATTAAATTTGGACTGATCTATATGTATATATCTATCTATATATCACATTTCTTACGGTTTTAAAGATTGAAATTCTACAAAAAAAATTACAAAATGTAAATCTTTTAGGAAATATATATTTATCTCCTAATTCCTTGAATTATTTTCATAATTTGTAAATATTAGGATTAGAAACATTCGTTATAGATACGGATTAATACATATATTATTAATATGTATAAAAAACACAGTTTCATATTCACTTTAAACGATAAACATTTAAAAAATCGTTATATTAAACCTAATTTTTTTATAAATAAAAATATATTTATGCAATTTTGTTTATTGTAGTTCATCCCAAGTAATGAAGAAAAACATATTAAAGTTTTATAATTATTTATTGTTGTAATTTTTGCTGAAAAACTGTGACCATATATCAAATTATATTTTTTTTTTTACACAACTCAAGATGAATCTTATCTTATTTTGTAATAAATCCTGAAATTAATTAATATGAACTTAAAACATATTAGACAGGGAAGTTTTCCTAAAAGTGACTTAACTGTAGATTATTGTATAGGTTGGGAGGTATTAAAAAAAATAAAAATGTCTCTTTAAATGGTTTTACCAATAGCAAACTCTGCTTTTACATTATATCTTGTTTTATGTTAAGTAATTGCTAGTTACTTAAATCAAACATTAGTAATCGCTTCCTAGCCAACAAACAAAACGTGATTTCTTAAAAAACAAAAATTGTATTTATATTAACTCAGATCCAAAAATTTTCACAATCGCAACACTTTCCCTTTCTACATATTAAATGAATAAGTAAGCGAAAGTTAAAATACTTAATGGTGTAGAAGTATAGAATTGAGCGATATGCTAATGCGCACAATAAAGAAAAATATTGGATCGGTTGTAATGCAAAACTTGATAATTTGAAATAAATACATTACTTAGAAGGATTTTGTCATTGTATATATTGTATGTGAATATATTTAGTCGTACTTCCGAATAGTTGAAAACTATATTGTATGAAAATTAATGTGGAGTATAGTGAAAACTATATTTAGAGAGGAAGGAGAGAAGTGATTGGTTTAGGAGCAGAATATAGCAGGAAAATATTGGAATCCTGGTGATGAAATAGAACTCCAGAACGTAGGTTCTTTAATCTTGAATAAATTTTCAATAAATTAAGACATTACTATTGAAATATTTTTTTCACTACATATATGTAAATTTGTGAGAGAAAAAATTAAATATATTGCTTTTATACTTAAAACTAACAATCCTTGCTAATGAAATCGTAGTCCAATCAACAAAAAAACTTTAGATTTATTCTTAATTTTATTTTGTTCAACTTTAATATATTATCTGCTTCTTTTTTTTTCTACATAACTGTAGGTACCTGTTTAATTTCCTGTATGGAATGCTAAAGATTTTAAGAAATTTTCTAATATTGTTCGGAATGCTCCCCTAGAAGGAAATGCTGTTTTACTATTGCATGACAGTTTCACTTACCATTTCCTGAGCCATCCTTGCACCAGTGATGTTGTAATTCTGACTGGGTGTAGAAATGTTGGGAATCGATATTTCTAGCTTCCTCATACTTTGAAATTTAAAAATCATGCAGTTAATTTGAATTGAATAGAAAATTTTGGCACTCCCAGGACCTTATGTAACATAGTTACCTTAAATTTGTAACGCAAATATTATTGTGTTTGAGTCAGATAAATTGCTTGGTGCCTTCTCCATTCCATTCGTTACCAAAATTCTTTTTTATATTTCAATTTTATAATATGTAGCTGCTAATTACAGATTTCGACAATAAGCAGAAGAGTTGGATTATTAACGAGATACGGTATTAAATACGATACGGTGTATAAAAATATACTACGGTAGGAATGAGGAATAGTAGCCATATTTCTTCCATGGCTTTAGTTTGTTTATAGTGTTATAAAAGTGGAATTTATCCAGACCCTTTTCAGTCGTCTTCTGATATTCTCCGCCTTAAGAGTTGTGGTCGTTTCTTTTATTATCAGACTGGAGTGTACATTTAATTTATTATGAGATCGTTTTCATTGCACCTCGGCACGGTAAGTCCGGTTGTAAAATGTTTACGTATTTTGATCTCTAGAAAAATAAGTCTTGGTATTTTAGAATGTAAAATTTCAAGATTTTTTATGTGCGTCGGCTCCGTATATTTGTTGTCTATAAGTCCAAAAAGATTTTAATATCTGTGCCTTTGAGGTAAGGGACACCATGTAATATTTCTGTATATTTTCGGGGATACAGTTTTTAATAATTTTGAGCTATTAAAATTTGTTTTTTAGTTACTAAATCCGTACCACGGAGGTAAAAGAGACAATATCGCATTTTTATATTTGTTCAGGGTAGCCAATTTTTTTTTTTTACTAATTCTCATTTTTTTCTCTGTCTAAGGAATATTGTTATCTACTCTATTTTTCATATAAAATATTTTAGTGTTTAGTAATATTAGTTTTTCTCGTTTATTGAAAATCATCAAGAAATCTTTTTGATGAATTATTTTATGTTATATCGTATTTTTTAAGTTGATTTAGTTGCTCTTTAAGGGTGCACTCAAACCAATGACGTCTTCCCATCCAGTCACATTTTATCCGTCTATTTGACAGCAAAACTCATTTCGCTAAGCGAATTAAATCGGTCTGCCCTAATGCGAGTCTTGGTCTTGCGCACTTAGTTTTGGTATTGCGCAAGAGTCTCGCAACAGTCTTGCAGTTACTTCCTACTATCTTATTACTATTGAGATATTATTGTAATTTTAAGAAAGTAGAAACCTAACTATATCCGAATGAAAAATTAGACGAGTTAAATGCAAATGTATATTGGTTATATCAATTCTTTACATATAGTAACTAAAATGGTCAAGTAATGGTAAATAGTACGCCTTAATTTTTATTCAAACAATAGATTTTTTTTTACCAGTCTTAGTCTTGGTCTTGCAACCGATTTTGGGCAAGACTAGGTGTGAGAGGGCGCAACCAAAGGGTTTAAATCTTTGTTTGTAAAATCGTAGGAATAAATAAATATAATTTCATAACTTTTATTTTATTGAAATGCAATTTTACAATTGTAGCAATCATAAGAAAAATAAATAAATAATTAGTAATCTTAGATGTTATCTGTTGTGCTTGAATCAAAGAGAAAATAAATTTAAATAGAAGCTTCTTGCATCATTAGATTTTGCCTTAAATTTAAGTATTGAATTCACTCTGCAAATTATATAAAAAGATTAAATAAAATATTATTACTTAAATATATTATGATATTATAATAGAAAGCCTGACATTATAAAATACAATAATGATAAAGAAAATGCCAAATAAAATTATTGAGTTTGTATATTCTTGTTGATAGAGCAGCCCAGTTGAAGGCCTGAAACGTTGGCGAATGTGAAAATTAATAGAAATATTTATTTTTACCATTTTATTTTGACTGATCACCCTAACCACCCTTCCCTTCAATTATTCACTACAGTCAACCATCAACCCACAACGATAAAGATAATACATATTTGTTCTTTCAAATTAATTTTAATGTAGTGCAAATATTTTCTGTATTTCTGTGCAAAATATATCAGTTAGTAATAATAATCAAAACAGCGGACTCTTGTGGATCTCTGTTTAATATATTACATAATAAATAATAATGATTGAATTACATAAATATTACGTCATTAGGTCCTCTTGTTTTTCCTTTAGCGGCCTTGAAAATAAATCTTAAACTGAAGATAAGATTTATGATTTATATATTGAAATTTTCCTATAAGTTTCTTAGATTTTTGTGTCTCTCCTAGAAATTAGTAAAATATATATACATTTTTTTTAGTAGTTCTTTAGGTAGTTATGTCTGCATATTTTTATTTTATTTTTTTATTATGTGTGCTAGTCGTCAAAATCGTCTTATCACAGTGATTTTTAACTAAAAGAACTTAGCCGAATCGATAATAATCCATCATAGGCCTGAATAACAAATAGGTTAGCTCTACCCCGTTCAATGAGAAAATAAATTAGTTATAAATTTCTATAAAAAATATTAAAAACAGTTTGTAAGTCAACAGTTTGAAAGAAAATATTTATGAAAATAATAATATTTCCACGTCCATGTCAGTTATTATTTTTTCGTGGCATTTCATGACCTGTGAAACTTATGATGAATTTTCCTTTTGTATTTTTGTTTGTCCTCTTCCTCGTCTCTTAGGCTATGCGAAGCTTTTCGGGCCAGTCGGTAGGGCAGGAGATGAATGTCAGAGTTGAAACCCCCCTTGGCACCCGGACGCAAACTCGGTATTTTTTTTTTCGGTATTCGAAATTCGCAAAGACGTTACTAAAAGTTTCACTACATCGCAAATGTATATAGTGACTTTTTTGTAATAAACCGAATATATTTTAATATTGACTTCAATACCCCTTTTTAAAGCCATCTGCAGTAATTTGGAAACATTTTTTCTTCTTTGCTCTCTAGAGAAAAACCTCTTGCCTCCTCACTTTATATTCTCATTTTTTTCAATGTGCTATCCCTTCAAAAAAAAAAATGTGCCACCCACCGAAAATACAATATTTTCATGGCAGGACGCCAGAGACTATAGGCTTGGCTTAGGGGATATGCAAGGGTGTTGTTTGCTTTGTCCCAACTAAACAAAGCTGAATATTTTATAAATTTGATATAATCATTGAGCTGGCTATAAAACTTAGCGTCTATGGTCCTGCCTTCCGAGATCAATTCCATCTTGAAATTCTGCTCAGAGTTGTACGATCGGCTTTTCTGGCATTGGTGCACAATAAAATCGTGTCTAGATGTAACTTCTTATGTTCCACAGTACTAATGCTTGCGAGAGAAATATCATAAAATTTAAAAATTAGTTGAATAGCTGTTGTTTCTCATATTATTTTGAACGTTTTATGATTTGTTTTTTTATAAATGGCGGGTATGGGAAAAATATTTCGATATCACTATAAAGTACTCCTCTGACAAACATACTAACACTAAAATATTTTCTTATGTTACTAATATTCTTGTGATTTTTTTTAATGTTTAGCTTTAATGAAATATTACCTATCAAACAAGCATCTGGAATACGTATATCTAGTTTGTAGTTATCAAAAACTAAATAGTCCGTTCCATTACCTATGGTTTTTGGATTCTATGCACCTTGTACCGTTAAATTTTGAGAGTGATTAGTAATTTTGTTATATGATTTAAATGGATTTGCTATTGAAATAATAAACCAGAAGTATGTGTTTAAAAGTATACTAAAATTAAATAAAATACTACTGATTAAACGAATCACTTAAATTCGATGATCTATTTCTCTTGTATTAATTTTTAAAATTTATTTAATTAAGTGTGTAGAATTTTGTCATAGCACATTAATAAACTAATGTGAAAATCAGGTTTACTTGAAAATTTCTGAGAAACTACGATTTTCTTTTTAGCATCTAGTGATCATTTATTGTGGGTATTAGAATTGCTCAACGAAATACACACCGATCATAAATAATGAATACATTTTACAAACTTGTGTGAAACATAATGGAAGTATGACATCAAAAACTTAATTAAATATCTAAAATATCAGATACTACAATATTACATTACCTCTTACTATATTTGGAGAGGCTATAGGGGTAAATTTAAACTTATTCGGTAAAAAACTTCAACTTCATTAAAATGAACTTAAAGCATGTTAAACAAGAAACCTGTTCTAAGTGGTGGATATCTCTTGTCCGATTGAACGGTGATTAAAAAAAAAAAAAAAATTACGAATAAAACTAATCGTAAAGGAAGGAGATGGTCCGGGTTTGCGGTCATAAAAAGGCTAAATAGTGGTAAAACTATTTTATTGAAAGCCAACGTTTCGACCCGACTTTGCAGGTCTTCATCAGGGAGGTGTGTTCCTCTAGGAGTTTCACTTAGAACTACCAGTTCCAAGTGAAACTCCTAGAGGAACACACCTCCCTGATGAAGACCTGTAAAGTCGGGTCGAAACGTTGGCTTTCAATAAAATAGTTTTACCACTATTTAGCCTTTTTATGACCGCAAACCCGGACCATCTCCTTCCTTTATAATGCAACGGTCAACCATTAAATATTCAACAAAACTAATCGTAGTTTAGTCCATTGAAAGTTCCTTTTCAATAGTTTAAACTCTACTTGCTTTTAAATGTGGTTTTTTTTTGTTCAGTACGGAGTAGTTGTTAATTACCTAGATTAGATATATATTTTTTAATTACAGCTTTCTATTTATGAAAAATGGAACAAAAAAAACGAGAATTCTTTAAATAAACACAAAACCTAAATTTTCCTTTTATTCCCTCGGAAAATGGAACTGTGATTTATATAATTTTTTTTTGTTCCTCTTCCATATCTTCTTAAAACATTTCCCTTTTCTTACCTCACAATCGTTACATTGTTGGAACTTAAATAATAATTTTTTTAACGATTTTATTAAGAATTAAATTAAGTTTTATTTTCTCGATAATTATTATTATAAAGCCTAAAAATATTTCGATCTTAATTAAAACTTTCTCAATAATGACTAAAGAATATAAATATATATGTAAATGT